AACGGTAGTCATGTGCAGACTCTGAGGACAAACTGTACCCCTGGCTTTGCTTGGACTTCCTTGCCTTCTGGCTGGTACACACCAGGTCACCGCAACCCAGAGGGGCCTGCAACCCGCAGCACAGTATGTACCTAGATCTCCTCTCCCCTCTCGGCAGGGGCTGCAACATGAGCATCCCTGACTACGTGCAGTGCGCTGAGGACCACCAGACACTCCCCATGGTGGTCCAACCCGTGGGGATCAGCTCAGAGGAGAATTTCTTTTGCATCTATAAGCGAATCTCCTTGGTGAGCCAGATCAGCCCGTGCGGCTCCCAGTGGGCACTCTGTATCCACAACAGGCACCACTATGCGCCCGAGAATGGGTGGAGCGTCTTCCAATCCCACCGCAAGGTCATGGGCCTTGTCACCATTACAGATTGCCTCTCGGCCAAGGCCTTCGAGAAGCTCCACGTGCAGAGGAGCTGTATGGCACCTCGTTAATGAATCTCAGCTCTTTGTCTTTGTGCTGCATGGGGAGGTAGCTGAGCAGCAGCGCACTGACATGGCCTTCAATCTACGAGGACTGCAGGTTGGTGGAGAAGAGGATCGAGGACTTCACTGAGTCAATCTTGATCTTGCCCAAGTCCAAGTAGCTGGATGGGGCCCCGGAGAATTCTGGGGACAAGATGCCACTCCTCTGCATCCTGTTTGAGAAGGAGGACTTCATGGGACTGGACACAGACAGCAGGTAAGTCTACCTGGTGGGCCATCCGCCCTGGCTATGTGCCGGGTTGCTTCTCTACATCCAGAAAGGGATCAGCAAGGAAGAGGGCTGTCTTGTAGCCAGGGGGGGAGGGAGATGCAGGACGCCGGTTTACAGACATTTAAGTGAATCTGCCTTTGTTTCAGAGAGATCCTTTTAGGGTTAATATGGACACTTACTCCCCCTTTTCAGCCAGGACCCCTGGTGGGACCCCTGGAGTTGCTGTCCAATAGAGTAGCCACAGCCACTGATGCTAGGAGCGCTGGGGAGGAGGCTGGTCTGAGCTGAGATGTGCTGTAGGTCAAATGCACATCAGACGCTGAGGCTTGTCTAGTAAAAAGAATATAAACTATCTTATTACTTTCTGTATTGATTACATGTCAAAATGATAGTATTTTACATACAGTAGATTAAGTAAGATCTGTTCTTAAAATCAGTTTCTAGTATTTGGTTTTTTTGTTTGTTGGTTTGTTTCTTTGTTTACCTTTTTAAATGTGGCAACTGGGAAACTTTCTTTACCTGGATCTCATTTCACTCCTGTTGGGCAGCCTGTCCTGAGACAGTCTCGTCCCTTTGCTTATAGATGAGATGCTGAATCCCGAGACACAGAACGAGGCGCTGGTTGATCTGGGGTGGAGCCGGTGTCTCATGCCTCCCAGGCCCAGCACCTGTACAGCTCAGGCCTTCTCTTCCTGCCTGACAGCCACCATGCCATGTTAGGACATCAGAAACACCGCCAGGGACTTCCGAATGAACTCCTTACGGAGGGAAAGGTGTATCATAGAGTATGGGACAGAGCACTTAAAGGTTCATCCTCACTTTGTCCCTGTGATTAAGTCAACCGCCCCACTTTGCCTCGGAAGTGCAGACGAGGTCTTCTGGGCTGCCTACCCTCCCACCTTCTGCTCTGTTTCCCCGTGTGTCTATCGAGCTGTCCCTCGGGCAGAAGAGGGTGAGATGTCTTTGCCGAGAAGTGGTCTCCCTTTGCTGGGGTGAGTGAGGGAAGCTGTCTCCCCCCGGCCTGCAGTCTTGGGCCTTGAGTCAGGAGAGCGCTCATGGCGGTCCCACAGGTGACGGTCGGAGGACCTGACACGTGCTGCCGGGCCCGCTGTGGAGGCGGTGCTCTGAGATTCTTGAACTTACCTAAGATCAGATCCTACTATCTGGTTGTTGGCCAGTTGGAGGAGAAGATGTCAGAGAATTGATCAAAAGAATGTCCAGACCAGCCCTGTGAGTGAGGGGCAAAGGGGACCCGAGTCCCACCTGCATGTAGTGACTGGCGAACTCTGGATGAATTTTCAATTCCTCCCCGGAAATGTCTCTATGGCTTAAGGAAGGGACAAGGCATGTCGTGGCCCCGATCTATACTTGTCCTCACAGGGCCCTGTGATCTACATTTCCGCGCTCTGCTTCTGCTACTTGGAGATGAGGTGGCAGGTTTAGGAGCCTGGGCACTGCTGAAGACACAGCTTCCAGCAACGGGCTTCTCCCAGACTGGCTCCGTTCACCTCACCTGTCACCTCCTGCTGAGCCCCCAGGCATTAATCAAGGTAGGTGCATTGGTGCAATGTAAGCAGGGACCAACTTCTCCCCCTGGACAGACTGGTGGGTGAGTAGTAGAAGCCTGGAGCCCTGCCCCTTACCAGAGTCAACAGTGCAAGTTTAAAGGGGGAGAAGGGCAGCGGAGGGAAACTAGCCAGGCCCCGTGTCAGGTACCAGTCGGCCGCCCTACTTGCGTGTTCCATTCACATCCATCCCTCCCATGTGGGCAGTGGCAGCCCCCTTTTGCTGATTGGCAAACCTTCTCAAAGGGGTTAAGGAATTGGTCCTTTTAGCGGCTAGTAAATGCTGTAGCAGGATTCAAGCAGGACCTTGTCAGACTTCAAGGGCATGTTCTCTCTACTAATTCTGGTACCTCCCTGTTGTACGTGGAATGGTGAAGTGGGTCAGTTTTGGAGCCTTTCAGAAAAAGTGCGATTTATGTGCCTCAGGACTGTTTCACAAAGCTCAGTGTTCTTTGATGGTTCGGAAGCACCACAGTGCTTTTCGCCCCACAGAGGTAAGGTCTTACTCCTTTGACGATGACGTGGTTGCAAATGACGTACAGGTGCATAACCAGACTTAGCAGCTTCTGAAGGGAAACTCTCCAGTTCTCCCTTGATCGGCTGTCTTCCGCGGGATGTAACTGTGCTGCAGCGTAGGCCTGAGCTTTCCATATGGATTGAGGGTTTGATAACCAATGTTAACATAAAACGATCAGATGGAGAAAATCGACGTTGACAATTTATTTTTGGGTTTCATTAGACAAGATGTACTATTGGTTAATGGCCCAAATAATGTATGAAATTGAGTACAGAACATTGCATTTCTTACTTTCTACTTAGAACTGTCTTCCATTGTAAGGTTGTCTGCTTTGGAACTTCAGTTCAGCCACTAGGGCGCCTGTCAGTGTGTTGGTGTGATTGCATTCACACAGTGCATGTAATCTGGGCTTCCTCAGCCCCAAACACTCCAGTGCAGAATCATAGGCCGTAGGCATCACTTAGTCATACAAATACTTCTGAAACTATATGATTCCAAAAAAAAAAAAGGAAGAGAGAGAGATTGCCTTTATCAAAGTTCCTTTGGAATTTGACTGCAAACTGTTTTTGAGCAGTTATGGCTTGCTTTATATATGAATATATACATTTCTTTGCATGTAACTTGGTTTTTGGACTAGAACACCAAGCTCTTGCTTTCCATGAGCCACAAAAATCGTAGCCAAATGACACACGTATGAAACATTTAATTCTTTTTTTCTGAGAAAGAATCCTTAAATTTGGGACTTAGGCTCTGATTTTGCTTTTTGCTCTTCCCACCCCTCTTGTCGTCTCACTCATTTTTCCCACGTGGCCTCCAAGACGTCATGGTCTCAAAGGAGTGAGTGGACAAACACCAGTTGGTCGCCATGCAGTGCTGCTGTAGAGGAAGCCCAGCCAAGAGCTAAAGGACATTATCAGAGAGGACTTCCTAGAAGAAATGGGCTCTACATTCAGTTCTGAGGACAGAGTAAGAGTCAGCCAGGAGAAGGTGTAAAGAAGGTGGCTTAGGTCGCAGGTGCAGCCCGGGCAGAGGCCTGGAGGCTTGTGGGTGGGGACTCGAGGAGAGTGCCCTGTGTGGTCCAGAGTGGATGGTGCCCCTGCTGGGGAGGACACTGGAGAGGGCCTGGGAGGAGGGCTTTGGAGCAGCTTGGGTTTTAACTAAAACTGACACAGGAGGCAGTGAAGGGTGTCAGCAGGAAGTGACCCTCAGGAAAGGTACTTCTGGTTTTGCTTCTGATGTTCTACAGAAAGAAGGGCCAGGACAGGCGAGAGTAGGTATGTCTGTCCCTTTGAGACCCACCCCGTCATTCATTTATTCATAACACGCGAACTTCTAAGTGTCTAGGGGAGAGAGGGTGGACCCACATAAGTAAGCAAAATGTATTTGCTTCTTGGAAGCTTAGCAGTGTCAGAAGTTTACTTAGCCTAGAATGTTCTAGGAACAGAGGAACAAAGTACAGAGGTTGGAGGGAGGGAAGGCTTCCTTGAGAAACAGTCAAAATGAGCCTGGAGGCAAGTGGGAAGTAGGAGCAAGTCAGGGGGCCCCTGAGGTCACTGGGGACCTGGGTACTGAGGTGAGGCTGGGCGAGTAGCGTCAGGGTCAGGGTCAGGGTCAGGGGTGGGGCTAGAACTACCAGGGAGCATCTGAAGGGTTTGAAGTGGGGGTTGATGTAATCAAATTTGAACTTTGGGAAGGCTGCCCTGGCTCTGTGTGTGTGTGTGTGTGTGTGTGTAGCGGGGAGGAGGGGGAGGGTGCCACCAACTGGCGGGGTCATTAGAAGACCATTCACAGGCTGGGAGGCGACCAGTGGGAGAGGGGCATCTGGGCTTCTTGGGGACGGCAGGGGCAGTGTGGATGCCGGATTTCCTTATGGAGAGGGCTTGTTAGC